GTTAGTAGTAGTAGTAGTAGTCGTAGTAGTAGTAGTAGTAGCAGTAGTAGTAGTAGGAGTAGTCGCCAAAACACTGTAAGTTACAGTCTTTTTGTGCTTTTGGCATGGGAAAAGTACTTCTTGCAACATGCTGAAAACTGCGTAACAGATTGTTTTTGCTAGGAGCTGGCCACAAAACACTGTGAATACCGTGGTTTCGCGACCAGGAGAAAAAACACCGTAAATACCGTGGTTTTGGGCGTACGAGGCGTGAAAAACATGGTGAAAAGGGCTTTTTTACTCCGACACTCTTCAAACAACACATAAACACCATCTATTTGACCATTTTTTTAGCTTTAAAAGGGTTAAAAAACATGCAGCAACAACAACAACAAAAACAATTGCTTCTCTTTCAAGCTCCACAAAACGGAAGTGCGGCACGGGAATTTTTGAGGCTCTCCCCAGCCAGCCTCACTGTCCGAAACGAACCCAAATCAGAGCCCCACCCCCCCCACACCCCCTAGATTAGCTTCCCGTCGCTTCGCTTATACCTACCATGCTACCATGACGCGTTTCTCTCATTACCTCGAGAAAGATTCAGGCCCCAAGCAGGTCAGCCATTCCACGGGTCTCTTCGATTACAGTGCCACATCGTTGAACCCAAACGCAAGATTTGTCCGGGGTCCGGGGTCCTTGCTGGGCATGTACGGCGTTAGAAGATGCGACCCTTAACCGTCGAAATATCATTCAGAAAGAAAAACAAAACCAATGAAACAAAATAGGAACAAACAACACGCGGACGAAAATTCACACACAGACGCACAGACCAGTGTACATACAAACCTCGTTACACGGAATCACGGTTTCACACAAACCCTTTTATACACAAACATCTTCGCACAGAGACGCTTTTACAGACAGACGCTTTTGCACACAAACCCTTTTATACACAAACATCTTCGCACAGAGACGCTTTTACAGACAGACGCTTTTACACACAGACCCTTTTATACACAAACACCTTTACACAAACATGCTTTTACACACAGACCCTGTTACACACAGACACTTGTACAGAGACACTTTTACACACAAGCCCTTTGACATACAGACGCTGTTTCACACAGACCCTTTTACACACAGACCCTTTTACACACAAAAACTTTAACACACAGACCCTTTTACACACAAACATCTTTACACAACGGCGCTTTTACACACGAACCTTTTACACAAAAACATCTCTACACAGAAACACTTTTACACACAAACAGCTTCACACAGAGACACTTTTACACACAGAGCCTTTTACACACAGACCCTTTTACGCACAGACACCTTTACGCACAGACGCTTTTACATGCAGACCCGTTTACACACAGACCCTTTCACACACAGACGCCTTTACACACAAACGTTTTTTTCACACAGAGCCTTTTACACACAAACATCTTTACACAGAAATGCTTTTACTCACAGACCCTTTTACACACAAACACTTTTACAGACAGACCCTTTTTACACACAGAGCCTTTTACAAACAGACCCTGTTACACACAGACCCTTTTACGCACACACACGTTTTTTCACATTGTTATTGTTGTTGTTGTTGTTGTTGTTGTTGCTGCATGTGTTCTTTACAGGCATTTCTAAAGCAAAAAAACGTTCATTTTTAAAGCCCAAAAATCGTCAATTCGGTTGTGTTTTCGTGTTTTTTGAAGCGTCTCGGAGCAAAAAACACCGTAAATACCGTCTTTTTTTTACGCCTCGCAAGCCCAAAACCACGGTATTTACGGTGTTTTTTGCTCCTGGTAGCAAAAACCACGGTATTTACAGTGTTTTGTGGCCAGCACCTAGCAAAAACAGTGGTATTTACGCAGTTTTCAGCTGTTGCAAGAAGTACTTTTTCCATGCCAAAAGCCCAAAAACACTGTAATTTACAGTGTTTTGGCTTTTGACACCCAATGAAAAACGTCAGAAAACAACCAAAAGTGTCCAAACTGGAGCTTCTCTTTCAAGCTTCAAAAAACGGGGGGGCGGCAGCTCATTTTTGGAGCTCTCCCCAGCTGGCTCCGGCCTCACCTTCCCAAACGGGCCCGAATCAGAGCCTCCCCCCACCCAACACCCCCCAGATTAGCTTCGCTTCGCTTCGCTTATACCTATACTCAGCCCAGGCCTTCGGCTGGCTTTCGTAATATAGTATTATAATAAGGTGTCCTAAAATGGAGGTACCTCCCAAGCACCCACAATTCCAATGGATTATCATCATATTCCCTGTTAACAATGCCAGGGGGGTATCCCATTTTCAGACAAACCCAAAAGTTGGACCATGTTGTCGATGTTTTCCTGGTTTCTTCCGCATAGAGGTTTTGATTTTGCAGTAGTTTTATCGTCATGGTGTTGTGTCCAAAGATCCCAGTCTCCTCATTATAGGCTTGGCCGGCCACGTCGGCCATCGGGATCAACGCTGTCGGGTTTGACAAAGCTACCTTGAGACCCAACTGCCATATCGAATCGAATGACGGCTATCTGTCTAATGATGGTTATTTTTGGCAATCTACTTGTGTAAATTTTGAAAAATTCCAGAAAAACCCTTCCTCTAGCTAGGCTGCGAAGAAAAATCCATGGTACAGCCGCGTTGATGGGACCGCGATCGAACGCGGGGAGCTGCTAACCTGGGTTCGAGCCACACAGCAGGAGGCAGGGAACTTGCTATGATAGGAATCTGAAAGACTCACAGGTAGGATGCATGATTTTTAGTGTTGTATCCAACATTTTTGGACAAAAATAACCTGATGGAAACCACGAACCCAAATGCATTTTTGATTGGCAGCGCCCTTTTGATCCTCACATCAAAGCGCCTGCAATGACGTACACGTATTTGAAACTGCAGTGACATGAATTGGTTCACATGTCAAAGAGTTGAAATTGAATGGACATGCACTTGTACTGCATACCAGGAATATATTCCAAGGAGTGCAATATTGTTCACCCTGCCTCAGTCAAAACACATCAAATCCAATAAGGCTGTCTGCAAAGCCTTCGAAGCAAAAGGGCATTGGATTGACGGTCCATTTCATCTCAAAAACTCTTTACAACGTTCCAAGACTTTGCAAGCCTCATCCAAACCAGAGTACATCAGTCCATGGGTTTCTCGGATCTGGTTCGCAATGTGCTCCATAGAATTTTGGTCTCCACGCACTTGAGCATCCTCCCATTCATGATCCAGTCGCGAGCCTCGAGCACGTAGAAGCTCATTTGTCTCCACCATCATCTGTCTCAACTCAAAGGATAAGTTGCTGCACCTCAGCATTGAGTCGTTGGAGAGTGAAGACTCGGATCCTTCAGCTTCATCATGAGAATCAGTCCACGCACGCCCATAGTGAATTGTCCTCCAGTACTCATCATCAAAGACCTCGCACGTTTCGCATTCCGACATTCAAAAAAAAAGAAGCTGGCCTCAGCTTCAGTCGACAGATGAAAACACCGTCGGTATCACACCGTACAAGAAACAAATGCAAAGCCTCACAGGACTGAATTCATGATCATTTTAAAAAAAGAAAAAAACTACACAATCACACCTGAATTAATCCCTCTCGTTCAGCCATTCCTCGCGCTATGTACTTACTGATCTGGCACTTCACCTGATGCAAGAATTGCTTTCAATGCGGAATGACAAGCTCATGGCCCAAACCTTGATGAAGGATGGACGGATCCTCGGGGACGCAGCATGTCCTTAAATTGAAAAAAGCAGGCAAAATAAGCCTCGGTGGTATCCCCAACAGCCGCAACATTTTATTTTTGCAGATCTTTCTGAAGCGTGCTGCGAAGCCAAGCGCTGGAAACCCTGTTGAACCTGTTGAAATTGATCACTGGAGGCCTGATGTGATGCGACGGGAGTCATATTATGTTATGATCTGTATGTAAGCATTTTTCATATTTAACAAGTGACTAGACATGAGGCAGGCAGCGGTGTGTCTAGGAGGGAAATGATGAGATGAATGGGCCAATGATATTCTGATCTTAATAATACTGCCCAGATATTCGATCGTGTTGTTTTTCCATGTTTTTCTCCCCCTCTTTAAGTGGGAGAACTTGAGGGGAAACCATTGTGCGGAAAGCACACAATTACTAGAGATAGCTTGGAGAATCAGATCTCAATCACATAGTCGGACCCGACCATTTTGAGTTGGTAAAGATTCTCCTGTATTTGGCTGGCTAAATATCACAAGTTTCTGCCCGCAAAAAACATCTTCCAGAATGGGAAAAAAGAATAAAAACAAAATTTGAGAAACATATAAAATATGCACTTTCTATTCTGGAAGAATTCCTGAAGATATATTTTTTCCCAGTCAGTTTTCCAAAATTGGTTGTGTTTTTCTCGAAATTGGTTGTCTTTTTTGGGGTACGGGTTGGGTACCACCCGTGCTCTTGTACCGTACCACCCGTACCCTTGCATCGCACCACCCGCACCATTGTACCGTACGACTCGTACCTCTGCACCGCACACACACTGTACCCCTGTACCCTGCCCATCATACCCCTGTACCGTACCTGTACCAAACCATAGCACCATTGCACCGTACCTTTCCATTAGCCTCTCTCCAGAAACCATGTTTTCATGGCTCTTGAGTTTAGGTAACTTACAGGCGAAAAGTTGGAACTCAGCTTCCAAACATGGGAATTCAGCAGCAGGAAGCCCATGAACTATACTTCACTGGGCGGATCCTGGAAAGAAAAATGGTGCCAACGTCTCTCTCCCACAAACCTGGCAATGGTCAAATCGCCATGGGGAAGATCTTCTAGCCATGTTAAATCGCTAGCGAGATAGAGGTGAAATCACCAATATCAAGCCCAGAGTCATGAACTCTATCTCTGAACTGGAATTGCCCCAACACAGTGAAATCAATGACTACGAAACTTGATAGCCCAACCCTACTAGTAAACTCCATGACTCCAAGGTTAACATGAACCAGGAATGATGCAATGCCCCAGACCAACACCATCCATCGCCAAGAATCTGGCATCCTGTCAAGTAAGCCATTGCCCACCTCGAACATCACGCCGTCACGCAAAGGGCTTGGAGAAAAAAAAAGGAAGGCCCACCCAATCTCAATCGTTTCCATCGTTCCTAAAAGACTTTCTGAAGTTGGTGACTAATACTACCTGTTGGATGCAAATATCCGCCGATCCCGCTTGCAGCACGGGAAGCGCGTCAGAGAAGACATTACAAGCAGCAAGGGGCAAGCAAGTAGAAGCAAGAAGCAAGAGGCAAGAGCAAGCAGCAGAGGAAAGAAAGAACAAGCTGCAAGAACAAGCACGGGAAAAGAGGGAAGAAGAAAGTAAGGTGCAAGAGTAACAACCAAGCAAGCAAGCAGAAGCAAGGGGCAACAGAAAAAAAAAAGGACATGCAAACAAAATGAGCAGGGCAAGGAGAAAGAAAGCAAGCAAGCTTCAAGAAGCAAGAGGCAGGAGCCAGGAAGACATGGAAGCAAGCAACAGCAAGCAAGACACAGCAGCAAGCAAGAGATGGAAGAAATAAACAAATTTGAGCAAGCTGCAAGAATGGGAGCTGCATTTTGCAGCTAGTTTCTTGTCACTTCAGAAAGCAACACTAGGCACTACCGGCTGCTGGCAACGCGGCCCATCCGTCCGTCACTGGCACGCTGTCTCGGAGTGGCGAGGGTAATGTGTTTGAAGCCTGGGAGCTGCATTCTGCAGCTAAGTTCTTCTGTTCAGAAAGCAATGTTAGGCACTACCGGCTGCTGGCCGCGGGGCCCATCCGTCCTTCACTCGCATGCTGTTTCGGAGTGGCGAGGGTAACGTTTGTGAGGCCTGGGAGCTGCATTTTGCAGCCCATTTCTTGTCAGTTCAGAAAGCAACGTTAGGCACTACCGGCTGCTGGCCGCGGGGCACATCCTTACTTCAGTCGCATGCTGTTTCGGAGCGGCGAGGACAACAACATCGTAAAATACAGTGTGTTTGTCGTTCACTACATCTTGCAACATGGTGAAAACTGCGTAAATACCAGTGTTTTTGCTAGGCACTGGCACAAAAACACTGTAAATACCGTGATTTTTGCTACCAGAGGCAAAATGCATCGTAAATTTCGTGGTTTTTGGCTTCCGAGGCGCAAAAAACATCGGTATTTGCACTGTTTTGTTGTTGAAGTAGACAATGCCAGCGACCACACCACGGCACCGCACGGCACAAAGGGGTCTGCAGGCATATAGTGGCACCCCAAAAGGGTGCAACCGTAGCAAAGAAACCTCAGCGGCACCCACAGGGTGCATGTAGAACCTTAGTGACTCCAAAGGGAGGACAAAGAACCTTAGTGCCCACACAAGGGCAAACCGGAGCATCACGAGTCATATCTGTGACGGAGCCGTGTTTTGCGCACGTTCACAACGTGTTGAACCCGCGCACGTGACGACTCCAGCTCGGTCCCAACCGGCCAACACAACAAAGCAGCAGCGGCCTGATGCGGCCTAGAGGACCCAACAGTTGTGTGTGCCGGACAAACCCACCACTCATGCTCGCGACCCGAGATCTCACCAAGATCACAAAACGAGCACACCGTTCCCGCATGAATGCGGGCATCACTCACATACCCACCAGTCAGGATCGAGAAGGCATGCTTCCCGTATTCCAAACAATATGACCTAGCAACAGCAACGGAATCCAAATCAAGGGGCCCCACCTGAGAGTCACGACGGCCAGACTCACGGTGAGTATTCCACTGATGGACACGCCAAGAGCTCCTGAGAGCATGCTGAAAACCTTGGATATCCTCAAGGCATGCAACGTTCAAGAGATCGATGCAAACACGACCCGAACGCCAACACCAAGGACGGATCTCGAACCAACCAAGATCGCCAAGCCAAGAACGCAAGCGATGCACCGTGCCATGGCAACGGTCCCAAGTGATGTCACTAAGCAAACCTTTATGCCCAAGACGGGCATACGCCGAGAAGAGCAAACAACCAGAAGTGAAAAGGATGTCAGAACTCAGAACCATGCCCAACAAGAAGCTGAACAAGCGACCAAGAACTCTGACGAACCACATCAAGAGCAACACGCCAACCTTGTCTCAACTTATCGACCAAGTTGTTAGGAGGAGCGCGCTGGCACCAGCCCCAAGAAACCGCACTCATAGCCGCACTAGTACACAAGTGCGCTTTCCGCAAAACACCATGATGCAAATAACGACACTTGCGCAAGACCGTCATGGCCCGCTGAAACCGAGCAAGTTCTTTCTTAGAAGAACCACGGGAATCCGAGCTGGCAACTTCGACACCAAGGATCGTGACACTATGCGACGCCGCACAACCACGAGTTTTAAGGGCCTTCCGCCCTTGGGCCGTTCTGTGGAAGAACTGGGCTTTGCTGTGATTTTCACGAAAAACCAAGGCGCGCGCTTTCGCGCTCCCAGAAGTTCCACACCTCAACACACTCAGCAGCCGAGTCGCAACACCAAGTACGGTCGCGGTCGTCCACGTAGATGACTTGCAACAAACGAGGGAAGCGGGCCTACAACTTCAGCACCGGGATACGCAACAACAAGCCCAAGGCAAGCACGGCAAAGGGGTCACCCTGAGGCATGCTCTCGGTAACACCAATAAACTCGTGATGGACCGAAGAGCCCCAACACAGCAGCCGACGCTGCCTCCAAACACCCAGAATGCCCCGCACGAGAGCCGCAGGGCAACCAGTGTGAACCATAGCAGCGCCCGCGGAGAGAGGCCGAACATGATCAAAAGCTTTCGAAAAATCAAGCGAACCAAGAAAGCGATTGTTGTCAACATGCTCAAACAAAAGCAACATGATGCTCAACACATCCGACCCACGGCGACCACCGCACAAGGCAGCAGGCAAGACCCGATTGATCCACCGAGCAACACAGGCCGACTTGAGCCGTGCAGAGGCATACGCACGCCAAAGCACAGAGAAGATACTGATCGGCCTCAGCTGACTGGCGGGAACAGACAAGGAAACGTCCGAGGAAGAAGAAGGCTTAACCAAGTGAATCTGCTTCACAAAAGACCAAACCGACGGGAAAACACCAAGCTCCTCGCACACACGCAAGGCACGCGCAAGCACAAGCCAACACGAGTGAGGAAAGAGCAAGAGCTCGGCGCCCAGCCACCCATCCAGACCGGCCGCCTTGCCACGTTGCTGAGAACAAGCTTCACGAAGCTCGAAAGCAGTCACAGCCGGCCAAACCTCGGCCTCAAAGGGATCTTCATATTCCGTAAAGTAGGCCTGCATGTCGCTTTCGCTCGAACCATCACGAAACCAGATGGTCGACCAAAAGGACACCAAAGTATCAAGCACCTCACGCACGTCGGAGCTGACCCTAAGATCAGCACTCTCATCATTGAACACATTTTGAGTATAGGAAGGCTGCCTGCCACGCAACCACCGATAGAGATCAGGGTCCGTTTGCATCTTGTCCTTCCAGCGGGCAATCCGACCAGCCTTAGCCCTTTGCTCAAGAACTTTGATACGAGAAGCAACATCAGCCAAAGTGAGCTCAGGCGTCCAAAACCGACAGCGGCAGATACGCGGAACCGTGGAGCAGTCACGACCCTGACGCACACACTCAGACATGCGACCGTACAACCGCAACAACACACGCAACTCGTTCGAGGCATGACACAGATACGGCCTTTGGTGATGAGGCAACCGCTCACGCAAGCACGGAGCACAACCTTTAGCACGGAACTCAGCTGTAGGGCGACAATCAACCAAACCCGCCTCGCGCAAGACGGACTCGAAGATGTGTTGGAGCTGCTCCCATAATGAGTCGACATGTTAGGGAGCGTCATTGACCCCAGGGATTTCGTGAGCCACCCCACGTTTGGCGAGGAGTACCCGAGTTGTGGCCTCCGGGTTCTATATTTCGCCACGAATCCTGAGTCCTGTGTTTGGACTTGAGGATTCCCAATGCCGCGAACAACTTCGCTGTCAAACATTGCAAGAGCTCGTTCCGCGTGGTACGTGCAAATGTCCGCGACACCACTGATGAGGGGGATCACTTCTACTTTTTCGCTCCGTTGACACTTCAAACCACCTTCCAAACGATCACAGATCGCTTGAGCTGCCATGCTCGTGTCAGTCACGATCACGAATTTCCCTGGCGGTGGTCTGAATGCAGCTGAGTATTCGTCACTGCCATTCGCCACTTGAGAAGCCTCTGCCAGCTTTCTCTTCCGTTCAGATTCTTTCTGCTTCGAATCTGGCTTAGGTGCAGCCACCTTCGGCGTTGCAGGCGCCTTCGGTGTGGTAGCTTTCGGCACCTCTGGCGCTTTGGGCGGCGGCGCTTCGGTTGAAGATTTTGCAGCTGCCGGCGCAGGAGCTGGCTCGGAGGATTTCTCCTTGCCTTTACCCTTGCCTTTTCTCTTGCTCCACCATGGCACGTTGGTCGACATTCCGGGTATTTACACTGTTTTTTGCTCCGAAGGTCTCAAGAATATGCGAAAACTTAGCCTATTTGACGATGTTTTGGGTCCACAAAAAATGCGAAAATATATCAGCTGTGTTGCAACAACAACAACAACAACAACAACAACAGAAACAACAGAAACAGCAGCAACAGCAGCAGCAACAACAACAACAACAACCACAACAACAACGACAACACTAACACCAACAGCAACAGCAACAGCACCAGCACCAGCAGCAACAGCAACAGCAACAACAACAACAACACCAGCAGCAGCAGCAGCAGCAACAGCAACAGAAACAGAAACAGCCACACCACCACCACCACCACCACCAACAACAACAACAACAGCAGCAGCAGCAACAGCAACAGAAACAGAAACAGCCACACCGACACCACCACCACCACCACCAACACCACCACCACCAACACCACCAGCAACAACAACAACAGCAGCAGCAGCAGCAACAGCAACAGAAACAGAAACAGCCACACCGACACCACCACCACCACCACCACCAACAACAACAACAACAACAAGAAGAACCAGAACCAGAACAAGAACCCGAACCAGAACAAGCACAAAAATGTGACAAAAAGATGTGTGGTAAGATGATTACAAGCTGCGATATGACAAGAACATCACACTGTGCTCTGCACTCGCACGCACGCGCAGAGCACATGAACAACACCAACGCTCACACTACTATACATAGCCCTTATGGCATCGCCGGTGTGCGAAGCTCTACAATATTACAATTATGAAGTCATGGGAGTACATGGTGGGCAACACCGCCCTAAATCGATTTCTGACCTCCCATTTTTATTTTTGCAGTCATGCAAACAATTGCAAATGAGTCAAGTAGAGCCACCTTCACATTGATTCGACATCTGCAAATTAAAACGGCCATGAAATGGTGAGAAAATGACGGACATGTTCGAAGAATTTGTGATACCTTAGACTCTAGACCTCTTGCCATGGCATGTGAATGGGAAAACATTGTTGTCGTGTGGTCATGTGGTGATGTTTCTCATGTTATATTGAAGGGCTTCTATGACCAGTGATGCGGCAGCCTTGCAACCAGGTGCAACCCGGAGGGCGCCTGCATCAAGATGATATTTTGCAAATCCGCTTTGACCCAGCTTGGAAGAAATTCCAGGTAGTACATCACCTGACGGTGCCCCAAAGCCGATACAGTATGTCATTTGAACAGCTGGTTCGTTGAGAACGGGGGCAACCTTAAACCATGGGCCCAAACAGGATGACAAATAAGACAGCTATGTTAATCACACTCCAAAGTCGAATAATCAACTTGGATTTTGGTCACCTGATCAAATCGTTTCATCTGCTTCTCATCCAGCTTGGACTGTAGCATCTTTCTAAGGTCGATCTGCTCAATGGACACCAGTACCACGATGAAGTTTCCGCGATGGAATTGCGTCGCAGCGCTGGCTGTAATCCCACCTGGGTCATGGGGCGTCATGGTTATGTATATTTATGGTAGGATGTGAATAACTGTCCCTGAAACATTCAGAGGCGTTTGTCTGAAAATGTGGTAAAACACTTAAAACACCCACACATGGCGATTTTATCATGGAAAACGATTATAAATCACAAAAGGCTCAAAATTTCAGGTGCCGTATTTTCATCTAAACCCATATTTGGAGTTGTTGTTTGTATTATCCCATTATTATCCCATACTATCCCATATTATCCAGAGATTTTGGGGTTGTGGACGACCCACAGCGTCGCAAAAGACCGCCCCTCCTTCAGTTTGAAGCCGCTGCGGAATGCTTCGCTCCAAGGTCTGCGCCACCTTCTCCGAGAACATGTCGTCCGAGACCAAGCGGTTGGCAATTTTTCCTGGTGGACGTTGCATCCCAGTGAGATGTGTGGGTTAACAACGGCTAATGGGATACTTAATGATACACTTAATGAGATAATGGGATACTTCGTGGGATATGTAATTTTTGGTATTTCCCCATGAAAATTCGGGATTTATCCAAATGGTTGGGTGTGTCTGGAAATGGGGTATAGCACATGGTGAGTAGGAATCATTATTGGTTAAAAATGGCTTCATAATGGTTCATGGGATACTTAATGATATACCCTCCGGTAATCAAACCGGGCAATTGGAAATCCCTTTTAATGAAGGGTTTTATAGGAAATGCATCTATGAACGGGGCATTTTCCATTGCCACGTTTGAGAACCGGAGGCTATATAACCCATATACAACCCATATTTGTCATGTAACCCCCATATGTAGTTGGAAATATTCCACATACAACTACAACAGACTCCGAGGTTTGCCCAAGTGACCAGAACATGTCGCTTCCACATATCATATAACCAGAACCTGTTACTTCTACATATCATATGGAATGAACCATACAGTCATTAGGGTTTCTTATAGGGTGTCAAGTAGATATCAAAATCCCCCGCTCCATGGAATAATTAACCATACAGTCATTAGGGTTTCTTACAGGGTTTCCGGGTTTCAAGAAGATATCAAAATCCCCCGCCCCCATGGAATAATTGACCATACAGTCATTAGGGTTTCTTACAGGGTTTCCGGGTTTCAAGAAGATATCAAAATCCCCCGCCCCCATGGAATAATTGACCATACAGTCATTAGGGTTTCTTATAGGGTTTCAAGAAGATATCAAGATCATTATCATCGTCATTATCATTATCATCACCATCATCATTTATCATCATCGTCATCTTGGCTTGCCTGGACGCTCGTTGCGAGTCCGCGCAAACCTCAGGGTCTTGCCGTATAACTAGGTTACAATAGGGTTACTAGTATGACATAGTGTTATGACCTATTTACTGACTGCAACGCACCCCCAAGTACTCTTTTGTCGCAATTTTCAGTAGAAAGAACCCAGGTCCTATCAGCTTTCCAGCTATTCGACTTCTCTCCATGGACTTTGTGGCTACAGCTTCCTGTTTATTTTTGATCACAATATTCAGGTAGAATTTCACGGTGCCCACATAGCGCACTTGCATCCAGCGCCACAGCCGGGCAAGAACCAGCCACTGCAATCCATAGATCACTGCTTTGAGTCCGCCAAGCAGAACACTCTGCAAGCTAAAACCGAGAAAAGCTTCGAAGAAGTAGTAAATTGCTCCCAAGACCCAGTACAACGCACAGACTCTGAGAGATTTATAGTTTTCAGGGCTGTCATCTCGAGCACTGTAGATCCCGAGGAGGGGGATTACGAGATTGCCGATGGTAGACAGGCCTCACGACCCAAGAAGGGTTGAACTGATTTGCTGAAACCCATCCGATAGCGCTCAGTAATGGAGAACCATACCATCATGAACTCACTTCAAATTGGACCAATCCTAATCTCCCAAATAATCACCACCTGGCTATAGAGATGGATACATGAAGGATACTAGCAAGAAGCACCACAAAAAATCATCAAACCCAGCAGCCCATTGATCTGAGCACTGCTCCATAGATGAAATTCACAAGACCCACCACAGCTTGGAGAGAGAAAAAGCCCCGTGAGAGTTCCAGGAGCTCGTTCATATCAAGTTTCCTGATGAGTGACAAAGCTGGTGTCGTGAAAATAAACTCAGGTGCTGTCCCCAACAGCTTGAAAGCTTCTGCGGTTTTGCCATAAAAAGTGCTTATATGTGCTTATGCTATAAAAATTAAGCGCTTATGCCATAAGAAATCAAGTGCTCATGCCATAAAGAACATCGGAACCCTTTGGAATTTCACAAAGCATCTGCACCAGAACCCTCCGGAACCTCACAAGGTATCTGTACCGGAACCTCACCAAGCATCTTCTCCGCCAAAACTCTCCGGAACCTCACAAGGTCTCTGCACCGGAACCTTCCGGAACCTCGCAAAGTATCTGCCGCGGAACCCTCCAGAACCTCACCACGCATCTTCACCTAGATCCTCCGGAACCTCATCAGGTAGCTGCACCGGAAACTTCCGGAACCTCACAAGGTATCTGCACCGGAACCCTCCAGAACCGCACAGAAGCCTCGGGAGCCTCAGCAGGTATCTTCACCTCACAAGGTATCCGCACCGGAGCCTCCGGAACCTCACGAGGTATCTGCACCAGAACCCTCCGGAACCTTGTCTGGAACCTGGTGTTGAGCAAAGTTTTGCTGTTGGGGGAAAAAAAGATCACAGGTTCGGCCTTGTCTCAAAGGGGGGGGAATATCCCAAAGTGGCAATTTATATACAGAGACACGCTGAAATGATGTTCAACCATGCGGAGTTGGGGCGTACCTAATTTTTGGATAAGTTAGGATCATCGTCCCATTGTGGATGTAAAGTTGCACCGAGTTACAAATCAAAAAAAACAAGTGTCTCACGTGTCTCACGGTATTTTTCCATCATCAAATGGAGGGTTTACCACAACCACAATTCTCACCAGTCCAGTTGATGTTCGCCTCCAAATCAGGAGATATTGGAGACATGTCTATTGATCAAAACCCAAATTTTGGTTGCTTCCACGCCCCCCAAAAGAAATGTATAGTCATAATCACCTGGAATCCAAACCAATCCATACGCCCATAATATCAACCCTGGTCTAACAAATCCTCGTTGATGAGTTGATTAGTTCGGGCTCCTTCTCCCAAAAAAAAGAAAAACCGCTTAGAGGCTTAGAGGGTTGTCAAGCCAGTGTTGACCGCACTCCCACCAAAACCCTGTGAGCACTGGCCAGTTTCTCCGGATTTTGTACTAGGCGAGTGATCATCTGTGCATCCAGCAGCTTCAGCATTGCAGCCATCACGAGACCAAAAGAGGACTTGTGGGCAGCTCAACCTTCTTTGGTTCCAAGAGAAAAAGTGTCAACTTGACGCCTAACACTTTTTGGAAGGCAATGAAAATCGTCAGAAGCTTATTCTCCTCCTGAAATCTGTGCTTTTGTCATGATACTTGAGCCAGAGTCAAGCAATATGGAAAGTTGGAACACCCTTCTGCGGCTAACGATGGCATAGTCAAGCGACTTGCTCAAGTCAAAGGACCCAATGCTGTGTGCTACGATGTCAATTTGGAAGATGTGCATCTTGCAAATGTGGCATCCCCCAGATTCTTGGTTGCTGAGACCCAATACAGCAACAAATAAATATCTAAGCAACGATCAAAACAATGTTCAACGGCCTGAGATTCAGGCGGCCTGAGTCTCGCAGTTGGCACCGCTGGCACCAGCCACACCATTGCAACACGGCCAGCCAAAGATGCCAAACCAGCCAATTTTTTGTACCCTCCAAAATGGTGAAAACTCGATCATTTCAGCTCAACATCACAGAACTTGACAAAAGATTTGGACAAATTCGCCCACCGCTGCAGAAATGGACGGCGAATGGCTGAGACCTGGATGATGTGCCCTTATTTGACTGAATATTGAATATTGCTTTGGAAATTGGCCCCAACCCCACAGATCCCAGTCATCAACGGGTTCTATCCCTAGTGAATTGGTGACCCCCAAAAAATCACCAATTTCAGCTGGGTCAAGAAAATCCATGTTTTGTTTGGTGAAAAGTTCGGATCATTTGATGTTGATGTTTCTCTCCAGAAAACCAACATAGATATGGGAAATCCATGGAAATCCACCATGAAAACAGATCATTTCTGGAACTGGCTGGCTGAAAAATCCCCAACCTCCGCTCTCGGAGAGCTCCAACAGACCTCTGGGGCCTCGGAAATCTCACGGTTTTTTGTGTCTTCCAAAGGTGTCACATCTGCAGTTGGTGATGTTTCCCCCAAATTTTGATGTCTAAGCCCAGATCTTGGCAGATTGCTCATTCTTGATGGTGAAAATTGTGTTTTTTTTGGCTAAACCCGCTGTCTTTAGTGTTTAGAATCCACAATTGTTGCGTATAAAATCCGATATATATATATATATATAGTTGTTGATTAAATCAATCTCATCCTCAATTCTTGCTCATCATCTGCATAGACCATGTTGAGTGCCTTGTCAATGGGGTATCCCCCAGTTACGGCCATTAGACACTTTTTGGGGGAAATGGTGATGAACCAGAGGTTTTAGGTGTTTAAAAATAATAATAAAAAAAGAAACAGACAAACCCCAATGTCACTTTGTTGGTTGTATATTCTATTCTATCCCTACTATAATTGGTTCTGTAAATCTCCATTGTTGGTTAATTCCCCAACTTGTTGGTTATCCAAGAAACAATGAGTGAAAGACTTTCCGGTAGCCAATCATGGTTTGCTGGAAAATTGCCCAATTAGAAATCATTTTCCTAGCTATAAATCTCCATATAGTTGTAGGATAGGGGATTTTCATTCATTTCCCAGCGGCCCAGCATGTTTGATGACACCGGAAGAGACAATCAGTCGAACCACAACTCGAACCCAGTCGCCAATGAGGAGGGGAGCAGAAGTGGCAATCTCAGCTTCATCAAGGCCTGGTAAATGACAAAAGCCATGAGTCATCGAACAGAAATGGGGCACCGAAGCCACTATTTTTGGCATCTTTGGGATCACGGTCCATTCTGACAGGTTGATGACTTTTTACCATACCCACAAAGGCTCCACAATGTGTATTCAAGAGGGATAAACCAACAGGAGACTGTTGTAAATGTAACTGATGTAACCAATAAATGACCAGTAGGGGGGTTTGTTTCCTGACCAGCAAACTTTTTTTACCATTTCACTACCACCACCTCCGCCTCAGGGGTGACCAAATCAGCCGACTCAGAATGCAGCAATTTGTAGCACTTTGTGTTCCTTCGTACATGACCTACTGGGTGACCTGGTTGCCCTGGCTCATCCAATCTTGTCGCCTTCCCAAGCGGAATCTTTCTGTGCAAGTTCACGAAAGGTTGATGGCAACGCATCATCAGCATCCTGACGATGGTTCAGCGCACACAGCACCCTGCCCTTCAGTATCATCAAACATGGCCAAATGGGAAATCACCCATCAAAATTGAGGTTTATAGCTGGGAAAATCATCAAACTAAATGGGAAAAAAATCCATTCCCAGGCACCAAAGAAACTAACACATCATCCAGCCTCTAAACCGCTTCGACCAACAGGCCTTGCACAGTTCATGCCAATGTTGTTGTGGTGTTCAGCCCGAATGAAGTGGCATGAATCGAGTGCCCACTGCCTTGCAAGCAGCTCCTCAAACTCTCTGCATGTCGTTGCCAGTAAGCGTGCCTTGCATATCAAAACATATCTCACAGCATATTTGCCCTCTGGCTAGCGATAGGAAGTCCACATGTCGACTAATTACAAATTTCTACCTGAAATGATTCTAGTTGAGAGAATTTTTCAGGCAGAAAAATATGTTTGCCAAAGGGTGCACAACTATCAAGATCGCAAAATCCAAAAATATGCACAATGAAGTTTGAGACCCCCGCAGTTGCCATCGAAAAGATTGGTGTTGCAGATCATGCGGAACATGTTGATCATTCCAGAATACATCACCAAGCTGTGAGTCCTAGACATCGGTCAAAATTAACCTTCATGGTGCTCCAAAATCAGAAGTGATGTCCCCGTTGAATGTGTGGTCACGCACGTGTTTCACGTTGTTTCGCTTTGCTTTTACATTTGCATACAGCTGCAGCCAATGTGATTTCACAAGTTCTCTGCATTCAGAATGTGCTGTCCGTGCAGTCCAGAAATTTCTCTAAAGAATGCAATTTCTTTCTCGTCAGAACTCGTCAGTTTTAAATTTTTATTAGTTCCTTCTTCCAAAAAAATGGGAACCAAACCCTCTGCAAGTTTAGTACACATGCTTTGATGAAGTCCGCATGGATGACTCACCTGCCCAAAGTCCAAACTGACAAACCATACATGCCTAAACGTGGATGCAACAGTCACTTTGCAAATTCATATGCACATTACATGGACACCAACAAAACTTTGACCATGCGTGAGAATCACAGCACAGTAGGCTTGCAACACATACTTGGACATCATGCGGCATTTCGATCGTTTCGGAGCTGTCGCCACGCTGTCGCCCTGCGCCCAAAAATCTCAGGTGGCATAGTGACATAGTGGTGTCCTGGAGCGAAGGTTTGAACGCTTCAACTGCTTCAACTGCTTCAACTGCTTCAACTGCTTCAACTGCTTCAACTGCTTCAACTGCTTCAACTGCTTCAACTTGGCCCTTGGAGGTCTAATGAGAAAAAACCATGGACAACAATGCCATGCCGCCCACTACTTCACAATTTCAGGTGTTACTCCAACTCCCTGGGTAGCAAAGGCTCAGTAGCATTGCAAGATGGAATCCCCACGCTCAGCTCCCAAGTCTTTTCTAAGCTATCAGCCCCCCAATGACATCCGTGGTTCAGTGGGCACACCACCTCACGGGTTATTTGATTAAAGGCTTGCAGCAATGGCACATCCGCTGCCAGCAAGCAGTCCCCGAATCATTAACACTTTAGGCATCACCGCGACAGGCCATAGAGGCCCACATCCAGGGCACCACCACGAATCTTCTCCAGACTGGGCGCCATGTTTTCAAATTGGAGTTTCAACTTCTCCATCTGCTTCTCATCGAAAGTTGTGGTCGTAATAAGACTTTTGATGGCATCAACACCACTGGTCCTCAAAGTTTCAAGTGCCTTCCGCAAGCCTAGGTGTTCTACAACAGCGCAGGCTGGAGATGAACCATGGATGGACTATGGGCCAACACGAAACAAAGTTTGCCAAACTGGGTCTGTTCCAGCAGAAACATATCAAGTTTGGATCGTTCCATGGGACTAAGACAGGCTTAGTATATATTTCCATGGACCTGCATACACATTTGAATATTAAGTATCAAAATATATGATAAAATGTTTGACTTTGCAGACCAGGGACGCACTTTCAATTTGTGATTGGTTTCCTCATCAATCAGCTCATCTTCCTGCAAATGCCAGTGCAAGGCAGAATGGAGCATGGTCAAATCCGAGATGTTCTCACTGCCCAACGTCCTGGGCAGGGCCAGAGCGGCCAAAGAAATGGTCGGAGAGTCTAAATTGGGAGTGGTTGCAACTTTTGACTTAGCTGAATCTGAGTGTATATCTGAGCATGTACGTCACCTGCACCAAGAGAAGCAATTGAATTTCACTCCAGTCGAATGTCCCATTTCACAAGGTCATGGGGCCGACTGTGACATTTCCAAAAGCCACCCCAGGGGGAAAAAACAATGTTTTCATCCAAATGGCGATGTTTGGCATGTTTTAACCCTGTCCAAACCGGTCCAAAAACCGTCCAAAAACAACACGGCCCAGGCCTCAGAAACTGTTGGCTCGTTTCGATGATCTCCTGCGGTAGCGGCTCGGAGGCATAGGTGATCTTCTTGGGCCCAGCCCACTGGCCGCAGAGAGCGAACAAGACGAAGGCTCCGAGCCTTCCAGGCTTCGCGAAATGTCGAAGATGCAATGGGTTTGGGAACCATATCCATCTGATGATTTTCATTACAATTGTTTATTGTTATTTGTAGTTAGCATTTAGGATTGGAATTGTCATTGCCAATCACAATGATGATGATGATGATGATGGTGATGCTGATGATGCTGATGATGCTGCTGATGATGATGATGGGCGATGATTATGATGATAAAGATGTTGACGATGATGATGAGAATGAGGACATGGATGAAGATGGGGGTGAGGGTAAAGCGGGGCAATGATGGAGAGAATCTGAAGTTTTGACTGCAACAGTGAGTCATTCAACAGCTACTTGGTGTCTGGCGCACATCCCCCATGAATTTGTCTCTACAAGGCCACTGGCCTTTGACAAGTACAGGCACAAATATACACACAAATGACCAACACTCTGCTGCCGAGACACTCGTGTCGTGCAAATTCTGGGAATCTTGCCGCCAAGAACATGAAACGGACACTTCGATCAGTTTCAGGTAAACCGGAGTGACTACCACACCTGACAACCCTTCCACAGCGTTGCTTGTACACTGACAGACCCTCAGGGACATCGACGTAGATTGCATGGCGAACAGCCGCAAATTCGATACCCTCACCGCCCTTTTCGGCTTCCAAGACCATCACCATGAAGTTTTGACCATGCAAATTACTGGAATGGTTGAAGTCGGCCATGTGCCTGCAAAGATATGTCAATTGTTTTACTCGAGACCACATCTCGCAAATGAGAAATCAAATCACGGTCAATGAAAATTCCATGTCAAGAGTGTTGGGGATAAAATTTGACGCTCCATATTTATTTTGTCAAGCAAAAAAATACCTGTCGTTCTTTAACGTTTTGTAGCAACACAAGATCATGGGATACCCTAGGTAAGTTGACAAAAAGGCGTCTCCACTTTCAAAGGCAAAAACCATTGTGCATGACACACATCTGTAAAGTCCGGAAAATGACATTGTAAGCTGTGTCCTAAAATGACATTTTGATGGGGACGCTATTGAATTGAAAAAAATGGAAAACGACAGAACACAACAGTTCCTGGTTCCTGAACCCGTTTGTCAGCAACAGGGGCGCCGCTTTCATCTGAATCAACGAATGAAAACCCACCAAAGTTTCAATACAAGGCGCTCATACTCAGCCACTCCGAAGCAATGTTGGTCAGCCGTTTCCTTCATCAAGGCAAGCATTGCTTTGTAGCCAGTCTGTCGGCGGATCATTACCAAACTCTTCTCCCTTTTGTTGGCAGCCGCCACCACTGCTGAAATCACAGGGCCAAACTTGGGCCGTGAGTCGGGGTTGGTCAGGAGCGTCTGTTTGCAAGCTGGCTGGTTTGAGGTGCCAAAGTACACATACATGCTGGTGTAGTTGGCCAAGGTCTCCTCGCCCTTGCCTTCTCTTTGGAGTTTGATGGCTTGGTAAAGGTATCTCACAAGTGGCGTTCCCGCCAACTCCGTGTACGTTGTCACTTGACCTTGAACTTGGCTGGAGTAGATCCCATCTGCACATGGGGCTGGCTGCTGCAAAGGAAAGTTTGCGCCCCGCTTGTGATGCGATGACAGAAAGCCCTCGTCCAGCAGATGTCGATGCTCTGCACCCTTGGATGAGTCGGCTTCCATGGAGCCAGTGCAGCACACGAAGATGGTGTCGGTGGCGGTGTCAACGTACTTGCGCACGTTGTCGAGCTGCGTCTGGTAGAGCCGGTTTGGCCTGGTCAGGTTGTGGCCTTCGTCCATGACGACCACCTTCCCAGTGTATGGTTTGTCAGTCGACGGGTCGAAGCCGACCTGCTGCGGGGTGTCTATGAACCCAGGTCAAATAAAAATCTTGTAGCAAAACACAACACAGCCTACAATCGGACAACAAAGCCTTTGGGGCGTCGTGTTGTAGGATTGGAAGAAGTGTTTATGTTCTTTCTCCCGTGTGAAAAACCTGGTTGAGTTGCTCCGTGATCAAGCAAGCCAGCGACCATGTAAATTTCATCCAGATCACATCTGATTAATGATCTTGGAGGTCAATGAATGCAGCTGGCTGTGCAAGGTTGAATCTCCCAGCCTTGAAGACGCAACCTCGTGGCATGCCGCCCACAAGCTCCGCAGCACGACCACCAGCCGATGTAAATCGATACGCTCTCAGCGGAGCCTGTGGAGGATGGATCTCGTGTGGGTTCTCCTGAGACCAGTAGTGGTCGAACCAAGCGGCTGACGCCTTGCCACGGATGAAGGCCCGCTTCATCTCCAAGGTGGCCCTCATGGGGTTCACACAGAACTCCTTGATGGCCTGCTGAAGGCTCAAGTTTTCGGCCCTAGCCCGTTGCGACATTGCCTGAGATCTTCCAAGGGACCATCGCTCATGTCGCACCTGCCACCAATCATCCTTGTTGGACGCTAGCATGGCAGCTGCCGGGTTTTGGTGGCACACAAAGTCCCGCCATCTCGACGGCCATTCCCAGAGAGCTGACAAGAAGTTGGTGGCAACTGACTCCTTTGGAAACACTAAGACCTTGGGCCGGGGATCGTGATAGAAGTTGTCAGCGATCCGCACCATGCATAGTGTTTTGCCCGAGCCGGTATTGTGGTCACACAACAGCCGTCGAATGGGCGAAGCTGGGTGCACCAACGATGCCACGACCTCCTGCTGGGGCAACAGCGGGACATCCCCTTGGCTTGGAGAAACCCACTGCATTGAACTCAGCACCTCGCGAGCATGGGCATTGAAGCCTGGGCGCCCTTGACTGAAACCATGCTGCCACAAGTGCTTGGGATATCCATCATCTGGCACTGGCGGAGCAAGCCGCCTCTTCTTCTTGCTTTGATCCTCAGTGATCGCTTCCTCTTCGTCACTGTCAGGCTCTTCTGGCTCCAATGCTCCATCATCCGTGTCCCAGCATTGCATCCATGCTGTCACCTCCTTGGCAAGCAAGAGAACAAGAACAAAAGCACATGGCACTGGGTCTCTCTCTTGCAGCAAGGAATACCAAGTCAGACTGGATAGACATCGTGTAGCCCCGTAAGGATCAAGCAAACATTTTACCATGATCATATTTTCAATGGTTCCGATTCTTATCTTGCAAATAGGAATCTTGACTTGGTTTCCTATCATTGTGTACAATCCACGCTGCAGTGACCACCATGCACCAACTGCGCCCGATAGATACATCCTGCTAAATCCTGAACGAATCAAGTCTGGATTAAAGGATGCAAAAAGAACATATTTCGTGAAAATGGAGCAGCGTCTTTCCCAACTCTTCTCAACACATAGATTCTTGCCATATGATTGTCCACCCAACTTGGACAGCCAAAAATTCCCTTGGTTCCCCATCAAAAAGCGGCTAGCTCATCTGTGGTTCCCAGTGCAAAAGAAATATTAACAGAATTCAAAGTACGCAGACAGGTCAACACTGATGACTTTTCCAAACGAATGGATCGACATCCGACATCCCTACAACATCCAACCATAAACTACAAGCCCCGGATTCGTGAACCCCCCGTTGATTAATCTGGAGGGTGCCATATGTGATTCAATTCATCACTTTTTAGGGGAAACCTCCATATCGAATTGAAATAAATATAATTGGTAGGAAAACTGGAAGGCTTTTCGTAAACTGGAGGGTCAATACCTCACAACTCCTACCCCTTCAAAACCTTGACGTTCTCCTGGCCAAGCATCTGGGTGGAGTCTCTTCCGGAGATCATCGGCTGCTTGCTCTCGCAAGTGACCCGGCAGCCGTTGAATCAGCTCCTGGGATGCATCACTTGGAAAATCACTTGGTGCAGAAGTTCAATGCTAACTGAGCCAAAAATTGGAATCCTTTGAAAAAAGACTCGCAACGGATGCTGTTCGAACAAGGACATCGAAACTAGACAAAAAGTTGTCTAGATTCCAAAAAGAACAAAATTGAGTTTGAACACATCCCCTTCCGAACTGTGAAGATATCCACCAACAAAAACACCTTCAAAAAACGGAAAGTCCACCAGACCAGTCCTCGATGGAATTCACATCCAAAAAGCTGTTTCCACCAGCTCCACCAGCTGCTCCACGGCATGGCGTAGCAACAGCTGCTACGGCTGGACGTCCAGCCACTCCTCTCATGGTGGCACTGAAGGACTTGCTGCGCCAGCCAAAATGGCTGCAGTTTGCTTGGGTTGCTCTGAAAACACGTAACCCCCAGTTCAAAATAAAGAAAAAAATAATGTGTTTTCCCGATCTTAAGTGGCGATCCAAGATCATTCTGGGGTATCCTCAATTTTGGGACAAACCCATTTCCAAGGTTTCAACAGGTGAAGTGCAAGAATTCGCGAATCACAACTGTCGCCTCGAGCCGCTGAACATGACATGGTGGAAAACTCAAACATTTAAAGACGTGTCCCTGAAAGAACAAAACGACTTGTTTGGCACTAGGATGCAGTTGAAACCTCAAACCTACACCTTCAACAAAGCGATATTGTCATCATACTATGGCAACCACCAAACATCCCTCTAGTCCTTCAAGTGCTGACGCTGGGCTACACCAGGGATTCACAGACCTGTCTGTTTGTTCTGCTTGTGGCAATATCGATTTACTCTTCATGCTGTTCACCTTCTTGAGCCATATTGTGCCATCTTGGTCGTCTTAAGCTGGCCCAGATTCCAGAGACATTTGGGTTCCCAGCCACAAAAGCCACTGGAAGAGTATGAGATTTGAGGCATAATATGGGAACCCTTTTTGTGAAGACTTGCATTTCACCATGTAATTTTTTTAAACTAGGATTTAGACAAAAACCGCGATAAGTATACTTATAATAAATACCCTGCAAAAATTTGCAAAAAATCAAATCCGTTTAAATACCCCAGTTTGCATCCAAAAACTGACAAAATCGACCGTTTTGAAGTGTTCTCTTCACTTTGGGTGAAGCTCACTGCAGCACAGTCTGGTCCATGGCATCGGCCGGCTAACTACCGCCCCTCTCGGATGGATTCAGCTACCCATGTAGAGTACCCAGACAGAGGACATACCAAGGAGACCCAGATGAAACAAACGAACAAATGTCAAGTGAAAAAGGCAGCCCCTTAAAGAGAGAAAGGTCAAGTCAGCAAGAAAGGCAGAGCAAAAAGACGGCCTTTACGGGCACCAAGCGAAACGGCTGTCCTGAGTCACCTTAGTGGGTCACAAGAATGCTGTGTCAGTGCCTCTCCAGTCAGTACCTAAAGTAAACAGACAAAACCAACCAAGTCAACGATGTTCATACATTCAATCTAAGCTCCATTCATTCGTTCCTGAGTGAGAGCAGGGTAGGGTAGACAAGCAGAGGAGGGCACGCAAGGTCCACCAGAGACGCAAACAGGCAAAAGGAGACCAAGCAAGTGCACAACCGGACAACCAGACCAAGCGGCAACCAAACAGGAGGGAGGTGCCGGGGAGGCAGAGGAGGACAGGGGCGGAGAAGGCTGCACCAATCACATTAGAATAGCAATAGTGCAGCTTAGCGGAGTCCAATATGGGAACTGGATCATCATCCTGATGAATACCTCAGTGTGGCCAAACTAAGCTCCCAGACGTCACCAGTAACATGGTGTAGAGGGTGAAAACCCCACACAGGGCAAGTAGCCTTTGTTGCCATGAGACAAATGACGGAAGGATGACAAAGCACAACCATTTTTTTTTTCCGTCCAACGCCTTATGGCTTCCGCCAGGTCGTTCAACATGTTTCAAAGCATGTTGCATTTGGTTTTTTTTCCTCGAGTGTGGCCGATGTCGCGCTAATGGCTCGGTCCTTACATGAGAGTAAGCAGCTAAAACTCTGTACAAGGACACAAAGTCCTTGAAATCAGCAGATCGATAGAACCAAAACAACGAAAACCACAACCACCCAAAAAGCGACGACCCGCAAATCCCCCAGCCAGACTTGCGTTTCGCCAGCGGAAGCGAAGCAAACAGCAAAACAACACCAAAACCAAAACAAAAACGGGGCCAGAGCCCAAACAAAAACACCCACCGAATCGATCTGCTATTGGACGCGGTGGCATATCCACTGCATCACTATCAAAAACATGCAAAAGAAAATGAATTATGTATCGCAGCTGTCCAGGCAGACATGAAGACTCTAGCTAGGAGGTTAACCCTAGCATGAGACAAGCTGTACATGGACGCAGATCCACTACGAAATCTCTCTCAGAGTCCTCTCAGGTCCGCTCGTCATGGGCCTTCATGGACGTAATAGTCATCCTCTTGACTGTCAGCTGCGATCACAAATCCAATGGTCAAATGAAGTCAAAACCCCCCTTAAAGGGGGGACCAGTGATGGCAATGAGGAAGCAAAGAAGGCCAGGGAGCGGCTTCAAATGCCATCACCAACAATAAATTAACGGGGGAGCACGCCCCTAGTTTCATAGGGGAGATGCATCCATCCGTTGTATGGTCTCAGTCAGCGACGTACTTGATAGTAGCCGCAAAGCTGGGCAACATGCAGAAAAAGCTTGCGTCCAAAACTGTCTTTGCATTTGCCACAGTACCAGTGCTGTCGTAGTGTAGCGTTCGAAAAGCAGGTTCGCAAGGGATACTAACTGCAGAACTGTTCAGGACACTGCAGGATGTCATCGTTCCTGAAGGACCCGCAGTGCGTTGCAGCACGTACCAGAAAGCATTGTAGCATTGTAGCAAACCTCCGACTGACTTGCCACTCACCCCGAGAGTAGACAGGCTGCAGAGTTACCACATCTTTCTGTCCAGTGACGAACCATGTTGGCAGGCTTGTGCTGCTCGCGGGCGCCCCAGGCTGTCCTACAGGGAGGAACACCGGAAAGCACCGGTGAAGCTCGCTGCAGCACAGGCTGGTCCATGGCATCGGCCGGCTAACTATCGCCCCCTCCAGTTGCGTTCAGCACCCGAAAGAGAGTACCCAGCCAGAGGACGTACTAGGGGAACCCAAAGAGACCAAACGAATTAAGGCAGGTAAGCAGAGCAGCCCCTCAGAAAGAAACAATTGAGTCAGCACGAAAGACCGAAAAAAGACGGCCTGCACGGGCAGGGGCGATACGACTGTCCTGAGTCACCTTAGTGGGTCATAAGAGTGCTGTGTTAATGTCCCTCCCTTCAATTGAAAAACCAACCAAACAAACAACAAACAAAACACCACAAAAACAAGTAAGAACAGTCGAACGATTCTCCATTTATTGTGCCTGAGTAAGACCCCAATGCACCTGCCGCGTCTATGGACAGATGCACCAGTGGCCAAGAGCAAGAGCAGGGGAGAGCAAAACAGCAGAGGGAGCAAAGGAAGCACACAAGGCCCAAAACAGACACAAACAGAGAAAAGGAGGAAAAGGAAGAACCAGCAAAACACAACGAGAAAGAAGGGCCAAGTGGCAACCAAACAGGAGGGAGGTGCCGGGGAGGCAGAGGAGGACAGGGGCGGAGAAGGCTGCACCAATCACATTAGAATAGCAATAGTGCAGCTTAGCGGAGTCCAATATGGGAACTGGATCATCATCCTGATGAATACCTCAGTGTGGCCAAACTAAGCTCCCAGACGTCACCAGTAACATGGTGTAGAGGGTAAAAACCCCACACAGGGCAAGTAGCCTTTGTTGCCATGAACCGAATGACGGAAGGAAAACTAAGCTAAACCACACTCCCAGCATGAAAGCAAGGCAACAGAGCCGTCACAGCTGCAACCAGATACTCCGAGGGAGGCACCAGCACACAGGAGTGTAAGCTGGACCAGAGCACAAAAGAGACCTCTCGCGGGGCAGGGGAGGCAAGAAGGACAGAGACAGGAAGCACAACAAGGAAGAGCAGGCAACACGGGATCACCGAGGCCCGCACCAGCAAAGCGAGGAGCACACGAACCAGAAAAGGACGGCGAGCCCGCGGAGCCAAAGAAAGCAAGAAGACACGAATCCCACCGGGCAACACGCGCAAAGAAGCACAGGACAGACAAAGGGGAGGAGGACAGCACCGACAAGACAGTTATTGCGCCGGACCAGAGTAAGGCGAGGTGACAAAAGGACAGAAAGGAGGAGGGGCGAGCAGCAAAAACAAACAAGCAAAGCAAAACGAATTAAGGAGTACAAGTGCACCTGTCTCGTCTACGGACAGACACCCAAGCACCAAAACTAGGCTCGTACCATTCACAAGGGAGAGTGAGACCCCAATGCACCTGCCGCGTCTATGGACAGATGCACTAGTGGCCAGAAAGACCCAAGTGAACAGCACTACAAAACAAAGGGGGACAAGCCGGAAAAGAGGAGCCACTAATAGGTCCAGACCGGAGCAAAAAGGGCCCAACCGAGCGGACTAGGGGGGCCAAAACAGGGAAACAAGAAGGCCAAAAGGCAACGAGGTGAACCGAGGGGTGCGACCCAGGAAGGTAGAGGGGAAGGAAGAAAGAGGGTTATGTCTGACTCCGTTGAGTGTATTCAAGATGGTGGCGTTTGTCTGCTCGGAGAGTATCATTCCAGCTATTCCCGATGGCAAAGGAGACCGGTTTCTCTGCTTCACTTATTGCAGCCAAGCGACGTACGTCGTTGCATGCAGCGTTGAACGCAGCGATGTCCATATCCGGTGCTCTTTTGCGTAGTTTCCGATCTGGGAAGACGCGCTCTCGCACATGCTGTTGCAAAGTCTGTTCCGGTACATAATAAGCTGGTCGTTGGAACAACACTCGGCTGGCTAGCTTAGCGCGATTGACTTCCCAATGAGTGAACATATGTTGATGTTGAACTTGTTGCTTGAGTTGCGCAGCATATTGGTGGAAACTTTTGGGCGTGTGCCACAATCAAGAGGCTATAATTAGACGGCCAATCAAGCGGGCACAAGGTGGCTGTCTGCTTCCACATTTCAGGCGTAAGTCCTTTAGCGGATGGTACAATTATTTCCAGGTTGACTCGGATGGGTCCAGTGGGTTGCAGGCCCATCATTGTATAGGGGTCAACTACCCCTTGTGCGTATCCTCGGGCGAGTTCTGAAAAGCAGTCAGCTGCCTGAAATTCCTCATCCAAGGCCAAGCTCAGTCCTGGAGCATTCTTGTCAGTAAATTTAACCGCCTGCAAGACTTGATCAGCCACATCTCTCTGCAATCCCTCAAATACTCGATGGGGACAGGAAAAGGAAA